ATTCCATGCAGCTTGCTTTATAAGTTTTAGTATTAATCGTTACCGACAAGCAATTTCTTTTGATCTGTTTCACGATGTTGTTAAAAAATGATTGTCATAATTTAGTTGCGAATGCAAAGCAAATGCATATCTCATCTCGCCTCGTTGTTTCAGTTTTATTAGCCCATCAACGGGCACAACAGTCAATATCATGCAGAAGTATCGCTATCTCAATTCTGCTTTTCCTTCTTTCAACTGCTGTAGAATCTCACAAAATGGTTGTATAACTGATACACTTTTATCGAATCTAGTCATACCTCCTTGTAAGATACAATCAATTCTTTTACCAGTGTTTTTCACGCCTGGAAGCTTCATTACCCCCTTTAATGGTCCGTAAGCCGTTATTATCCCTAGCTGCTTGAATTTACTGTTTCCACGTATAACGTCAGGAGCAAACTGGAAACTGGTCCGAGGGTTCCCCGATAGCGTGAAAGAATTCCGACGGAACCAAAATTTCGTTCAAAACTTTCTTCAGGCGAGTTTTAAAAAAATTCAGAAAATAGGAGAAAGAAAAAAGCGTTGCCATGAATGAACTATATTTAAATGCTCAGGTGAAAGGCGCTCCATCATCACATAATTCCGCGAAATATTAGTTTGTCGATTCCCTTAATTACCCTCTGATACCTCCAAATAACACCAATGAGGATAATTTATCCCATCTGAGAAACACTGTTCTATTGGAAATTTGCAATAAGAAAAGCGCATGTTCTTTACTGCGATCAAAGAAAAATTCACTCACTCCTCACACGAATGCTCTAATTCAAGCATTCTTTCTCCTCTCAATTAACCATTCGTTGTGCATAAATACCGTTCTGTTTCATCAAAGCAACGTTTCATCTCCTCATTCGATAATTCTTGTTTGTTAAATAGACTCTAATCACATTCTTATATATGTAATATCTCACATCGATAATACATTCCGTTCGTTGTTGATTTCTTCTCAATTAATCGCCGCTTAAAACTTTCCATTTATTGTTATGTTCGAAATTTTCTCATTTTATTTCCATGATTTTTTTATCGTTATATCGTTTATTATTATTATTTATTATTATTATTATTATTATTATTATTATTATCATCATTATCATTATCATCACTATCATTATTATATTACTGTTATTCTTATTGTCGCCTATATTATCGTTGTAGATGATTTTTCCTCGATTATGTTCGGAGTGCTTAGAAAGTTTTGAAATTGGAAGTTGATCATGGTTATTGTACTGTAATTGTTGCATTGTTGTCGGTTGTTCTGGCTATTGTGTTTTTTAATTATCATTATTATTTCGTTTTTATTTATTCTCCCAATGATCGCATTTAACATTCAAACTTCTTGTGTCAGTGTTTGGCTAATTGTTCTGGATTTTTATGAATTTCTTTTAAGTTTTCCTTTTCCAAACCCAATTTTCAAATCTATCCGTTGGATGTGTGGAGATTTTTGGAAACTGGTTGTTGCTGATGAAAAGGCACATTATTTCGTTTATAATTTTTGTTCTTTTTTCAGTAAGGTGCTGATGAAATAATCCATTTGTTTTGATTTGATGTTGAGTCTTTAGACATGTTCACTTTCGAGTTAATCACA